GGTAAATGACTTAAGAGAGATAATAATACAATGTGTTTAATTTCCCTCTATTTCAATTAAATAGCTGCATCCATGGATACACTAGTTAAGTGAGGTTTGAGGTGGAATGTAGTTGCAAAAGAAACTTGTCATATTTGAGTCAATGAGAAATGAGAAACTAAGAGTGCCTTCGGCATTAGAAAACATGGTTAATTATTTTTCATTTATCTTAATGAGAAAAATGTGAAACTATAATATAATTAAGATAAACTTATAAAAATTAAGAGATGAAAGAAATGCTTCTTATTATGTACCATAAGATAAAAAAAAAAAAAAACCTATAATGAGGTGGTTCAATTGTTAAGAATTTAAAATTTTAAATTAGATAGCTCAATTTCAAATATTAAGTTAAGTGAGAAAGGATTTTAAAAAATGAAAGAGATTTAGAGAAAAATGAGAGTTTTTTATATAATCCATTTAGATCTAAAATTAAAAAAAAAAAACCATAAGATAAAAAAATAAATTTATAAAGATTAGGGACCTAATTGAAATAAAAAGAGGGCAGGAGCTGGACCTGATTGAACTAGACTTAAATGTTAGGAATAATTCATAAATTTCCTCTTCCTTTTTCATATCTATGTATGACTATGGGCATTAAAGAAGAATATGCCGCGAACGTGGACGGTGATTGCGGACTTCATCGTGATCTTCGGCTGCAAGCATTGTTAGTCGTAGAATTAACGGCACCCATGAAGGGGGTTGCATCTTACATATATCAAAGAGAAAATTATTACATTATTAAACACAAAATTAACTGCACACGCCATGCATCCCTTCTAAATTTGCAAAGAAAAGATACCATAAATTATCTCCCCTAAAGTCTTGTGGTTGTGGAAAAGAATGTTGGTGGATTCTTATAACTAAATTCACTATTAATTGTTTGTTTGGTATTTCAAAAATATTTCTTTCCCTTAAAGTATTGATGTCCAAAAATTACAATGAGTTAAGTTGTATTTAGCGCTGGGTATTTTTTAACCGAACCGATTGTTTACTCGAAAATCAAATCGAAAAAATGAATTTGGTTCAGTTTCAATGGTTTTTTATTCTATTTTTTTGGTTTCAGTATTAACTGAATATATTTTGGTTTAGTTTCGATTGAATCTCTGAAAAATTGAAAACCAAAAATAAAATCGAAATTAGGATAAAATAGATAAAATATGATAAAATATG